CATTGCCTTTTAACATGGACCAGGGCAAACATGTAGGCGCACCCATCAGAATCCAGAAAAAATAAAGAGCTTTGGTGAGAGGACGCGGATGGGCCGGACCGTGTTCCGTAAATGGAGCCACGGGCCAGTGCTGGCGAAAAACGGACACAACCCAGGCGAAAGGCGCGCTGTCCGGCCGGTGTGTCGTCCGAGCCACGCGCACGGGCGCCGGGCAGCGACACGGTCCACGGACGGTGGCTTTCCTAGCTTGGCTGCCAAGGATGTCTGTCGCTTGGCGCGCCAGATCACCGCAGGCGGGCCAAGCGAACGGCTGCAGTTGGACGAACAAGCGGTGCGGGGCGGGGGCAGGCCAGAGAACGGTTGCGGCGTGCGGTCGGCACGCAGCGTGTCTGCACTCCCCCCATCCTGTTGCTTCGTCGGCACGCGCGCGGAAGCTGCCCAAGCTGGCTGGGGCGGGTTCCTTGGGTGCGAGACCGCGGGAAGGTGTTGGCGTTGGAGCGGGACACGCGATTCCAGGGTCGGTTCAGGCTTCAGATGACGGATAAATCGGCATGAGGACTTGGCTGCCGCCGTCGATAAGGTCCATTCACCACTGAGAGGCTTTGTTCAGCTGATTTGTACGACTAATTTGTTAGAGGAGAAAAAAAATTATTTCATAGCTAATAAACCGGCTTATATGAGCAGCCTGCCTATAGTAACGACGGCTGCACCCTTCACGGAGTCAGCCGCCAAGCGCCAAGGGCCGTGGCCACCGGCCTGACATACGTGGATCGAGGACTACAAGTCGAGAATAATTGAGAGTTTTAATTCCGTGGCCAACAACTGGAGATGGATGGAGTCGTCGACAGATGTTGATTTTCAATGTTGTTAGAGCAAGTATAATAACAGGCTGCTGAGGTGGAAAAGAGATAAGATGAGAAAGAAGAGAAGTAGGCTGTAAACTTACAACTGGCTTAAGCACATGAACCAAGAAACTTTTTGAGAGTGATAAGTGGACCATGTATTAATATTGTAGAGCTAACTACTATATGGACAAGTTGAGAGAAGGCTACAAAGAACTTTACGGTCTATAGACTGGCTGTATTATTAGCCTTTCTCTTATTATAAATGTAACTGAATGTGATCCGGTATAAGTGTTAAAACTAATAGCAGTTTGCAGGGAACATCCGCAATTGTTTAAGGCCTCGTTCGGTTAGGCCGGATTGGCCCGGAACCTGGCCTGTTCCACCCGGATCGAATAGGTCCGGTTTCAATCCAGGCCGGACCAAGAATAGTCGTTCGGCTAGATTCGGCCCGGAATAAAACTCGGTCAATCCGGGCCATTTTGCCCCCTCCTCCACCCGGAACGAAACCGGACCCTCATAGGTCCGGAACGAAACCTGTTCGACGCGATGAGAGGCGATGGCGCGGCACCACCGAGGGGAGGCGACGGCGCGGCACGAGGCTACGGCGACTGCTACCCATCGAACATCTACGATCTCCGCCACCTTCTCGCCTGTAAGCCCTCTTCTTGCCCTCTTCTCTCCCTGTCCCTGGCGCTAGGGTTCTTGATAGGGTTCTGGCTGATTCGTCCTGTCCGTCGAGGGGCCGGCCGGTCCCAGGTCTCCAGGTTCGGCCTCGTGACCAACTTTCACTTCGGTCATCTGTTGCCTTCGCTGCCCACTGGATCTGAAGTCTGATCCCCTGTTCGCTGAAGGTCTGTGTGCTTGCGGCAAATAATACAGACACTCAATTACATCTCTCTGTTTACTCTGCAGTAGCTAGGCAAATGAGATCATTTTGTGTATTTGTTTGTTTCATGGTAGTGATGAGAGGCGCATCACTTTGTTTTGGATCTTCTGGAATCAGTTCAGCTTTTTGGGCGACCCATGACAGAAATTATTGCTTGTTTGTGCTGGTTAGAGTGCCCTTTGCATCATCTGCAAAGGCAAGAGATACACAATCTTTGAGTGCCGAGAGTTCTCCTTTTGTATACACGCTGATTTGAACAATTGCTCCTTGTATTGGTTTTGGTGAACTAAAGAGAACTACAGTTCTGACATGCCATATTCTAGGAGATGCATTTATGTACTAATGGATCTCAAATTTACAATCAAAATGGGAAATCGAGTGACTTGATTATCATACAATGCTAATGGTGTTTCTGTAGATTTTGGTTGGGAGTGAATATATGTACTATGTAGTTTTTTTTAAAAGGTGGTAGTTTTGTATAGCCCATGTCATCTTGATTCTTGACACGCTCTCTAGTCTAAAAAAAATTTGTTTCATCTGAAAAATCACTGCAAAACTTTGAGTTCTCTAGGCTTGGTCAGTCACATAACTATTGTGCTCTTTCTATGCCACTAATTTCCTTGATCAAGTGTGTTTTTTTCTTAACACAGACATTTTCTTATTACTTGTAGATCTCACCAACGCACCGCTTAGAGTAGGGGAAGGTGAACCTCCGCCCTCTTGGGATGCGGTAGCAACTCCAGAAGGTACTCCAGGTCAGTCTAACTAGCACTTCGCTTTCTTTTGGCTCTCGTGTTGTTGATGAACTAGATAAAGAAGCAACTAAGTCTTGAGAAGCCAAGCTGTAACATTGTAGGTTAGCTACGTTAACTACAAGTATCATGATCCTCCTTCCTTAGCACTGTTAGATTCAGTTTTCTAGATGTGCTATGTTTTCTGGACAGATTCAGAGACCTGTTTTTGCCATGTTAGCACTTAAGATAACTGCAATCAGTTTTAGATCACAGAAAAGAATCATCACCGGCATGGTTAATGAACTTGTGGCAAAATTTGATTGCATCATTCTCTGGTTCCAAATATGAGTTTATTATAATCAGTGTGTATGTGTGTATATAGGCATGATTCCTACAGATTTTTTGGTTTCAGCAGTAGCTTGGAATTTGAGTGTGCAATTTGTACTTTGGAATTGGATGCCATGTCCAAGGGAACTGTCTTTGTATATCTTAGTACTATGGAACTTTGTTCCATTATCTAAAAAAAACTTATTACTGATCTTCATTCAAATATACAATGCAATTCAAAGTAAGGATTTTGGCTGTCAACCTGTAATTATCATAGACTGCCATTTGTATTGTAATGAGGTTAGGTTAGAGCACCCAAACCTGTAGCTTAACCTCTGTCTGCATTTCTGATGTGAATTTCTGAAGTAACTAGCAGTCATCACTTGGCACCCTTCTATACACACTGTACTGTGTAGTTGCTGATCGTTTCATCTGAACCACCACTTTTTTCTGTTGAGTCTAAACATCTTCCAAGTTGCTGTTCATTTGCTGATCAGAACAATTCGAGTATGAAACAATGTTGTTCCACCCATTTGCAGGGCCGCACTCGAGCACGCCAGGGTGACAGAATGGCTCCAAGGTCAACACTGAAAGCTACTGGACTGCCATAGGAGTCTGAGTACAAGAAGAGGATTTATTTGTTGCTTTGACAATATAGAATATTTATGTGTGGGGGTATTAACCCCTATACCCTTACGGCTAGACTTGGGCTGGCCCAGACCAGAGGGCTCGGCCCATGAGGAGACGACGCGTGGCCCAATCGATCTGCTCGGAGTCCCGCGCAAGTAACCAAGATAGAATTGGAGATCAAGCAAGATCCTGGTCGGCTAGAATAGGAATCCTTATACGGCCATCGATGACAATTGTAACCGGCTAGGATTAGTTTCCAGATCTGTAACCCTGTCCCTCGGACTATATAAGGCGGGCAGGGGACCCCCTCGAAAAACATCTCATTACATACAGCAATACAATCAGACGCAGGACGTAGGTGTTATGCCCTCACGGTGGCCGAACCTGGATAAAACCTCGTGTCTGTCTTGCGTCACCATCTCGTTCGTAGCTTGCGCACCTGTCTGCCGATAAACTACTACCTTGGGCATACCTAGACTGCCGATCTCGTCGACATTATGTTTTCAAACTGGTTACACAATTATGCTTTGGACATCCTTTGGTGCACATTTTGTCACTTTTGGCACTAGCTAGCATGTTTCTTTATCTGTGGCTGCACATATGTGGTACTCTGCTATTATTGCTGCTCATTATCTCTACACGTATGAGAGCATGATGAGAGACTTGCAAATCAAGAACCCTAAAACATGAGAGATTTATTTATGACAAGCACTTACATTTGATTATCAGGTTGTGAAATTTCTTTTGGATTTGCTTTGCATGGCCAAGAGTAGTACAAGGCAATATGATCTGCAAGTATAATTTGTTGTGTTATTATGTCATCAGTAGCAAGATTTTTTTACAAGTGTTTGCACACGGAGGAGTATGGCTGAATGTGTGACCTTGCGTGCCTCAAGTACTAGACAGTTCAGTTTGTGTTGCACGTTCCTGGTATAGTCCTGGTTTGAAGCCTGTATTGCCGAACAATAATTTTTTTATGTGTGGGAATTAAACCGGATGGAATGGCACCCAGGCCTGGTTTGAGTGACACGCACGGAACCACTCAAACCATGCCAGGTTCCGATCCTGGTCTGGAAGCATTCCGAGGTTGCCGAACGAGGCCTAAGGGTTTTCAGATCTTCAGGATCGGTCGTTTTTCAGAGCCAGAGGAATGTATGTGACTGAGTGACTGACTGAAGCAGAACGAGGAGAACAAATTTGCAGAGACCTTGTTCGCAACAGCAGAGAACTCGATCGCGATACGTTCCAGCCCATTTAACCTGTGGAACGACCTAGACAGCGCAATATACGTCTCACTCACGATACCTTGCTGCTAGTTCATCATCACTTCATCAGGCTGGAAGATAACAAAATGACAGATAATTTACCATCATAGACTAACTGATTTGACATCCAAATACTTTGTGAGTTGCTAGACTGACAGAGTGACAGATCAATTTGAATTTTTCTTGACCTTACAACAATGTCTTGGACACCAGCCATCGTACAAAGGAATCCCTTTTCTCCAAAAATAATATGAAAAAAATCACAAATAGTGTACAACACACTGCAACACAACACCATCTAGTCCAGGATGATTTAAGCGTGATGCATCGCTGGCTCTTGCTCCAGCACCATGGTCGGGTGGTTCGCCGCTTCTGCAAAAATTCAAGGGAAGGCATCGTCAGAAATGCATCATGCATGGCTCTCCATCGGAAGCGACTGATGGTATGGTGAATTAACCACGTGTTTACGTACCGTCGCCGGCGGCGGCGAGGCCCTTGTCGTGGCGCTCGACGCACTGGAGGATGTACTTGAAGGCCTCGGTCTCGCAGGGGATGGCGAGCGCGCCTTGGTGCCGGAACCCGAACTCCTCCTCGGCCTTCTCCAGCAGGAGCCGGAACACCGGGTGCGCCAGGTAGCTGGTCGGGATCACGAAACGCCGCTGCTCGGGCCCGACGTACACGGGGCAGTACCCCCGGGGGACGTCCGGCGGCGGCTCCGGGCTGTGGCAGCTCTCATCGTCCGACAACAACACCGAGTCCGCCGTCTCCGTGCGCCGCAGCCGCCGCATCACGAACGGCCGGATCGCCGACGCCACCGCCTCCTCGGGCACGCCGCCGGCGTCCTCGTCCTCCTCCCGCTGCTGCTTCGCACCCAGCGCCATGAAGTGCCACTTGTGCAGCAGCTCTCGCAGACGCACGATCTGCTTGATGCCCGTCGCCGCCGCCTTCGCGCCGTCGTCGCCCATGGCACACGCGCACGCACGGACAGTCAGTCAACGTATACCTTCGCAGAGATGGTGTCTTGGATCTCGAGAGAGCTTGATGATGAGAACTTTGAGACGAAACAAGGGAAAGGCCGGGATGGAGAGAGTCTGGCATGCAGGAGGTAGGAGGATTATATAATAATCACGTCGTACTCGTTCGTACTCCATCATCGATCAGGGGGTAACATGCATGGCAAAATAAACAAAAAAAAAGATATTCCTTCGCCGCGGGTTGTTTTAAAATAAAATGGCTGATTAGCTAATCGCCGGCGTGTGGCTCAAGAATGCCAGAGTTTATCTGATGATCCAACCGGCTAAGCTACTCTAGCTTAGCTTAGCTTGTTCAAACTTTTTTTGGTGGCAAAATGGCGATGATGGAGGAAAATAGTTACTAATAGTAATAGTACTACTACACTAGTGTGGTGCCTTGCAAGTTACGTAAGCAGGAATAATTAGTTAGCGCACGTTACGCAAACAGCACTGTACTAATTTTCTGAACTGATGAAAATACCCATGCATTTTTTTTCTGAAAATCTTTAGATGTTCTAATTTTCTGAACTTTTTATATATTTAATTTTCTGAACGGGAACATGAAAAGCTGGATGTGTGCTGGAAATATCTATCACACAGGTTCGGACGAACTTTTCAGCGGTTCATACACTGTGGACAAGAACGTGGCCGCATAATTGTGTTGGATCGATGCCAGAGCCTAGGACACGGTCTCATGCCGGACCGTTGTGTACCTATACTAGTATATTATTACACTGTCTTCGGCAAGAAACCCACGTGAGTCGTAAATCAAAAATAGGTATTAAGAGATCTAAAATTAGTCTATAACAGAGTATCTATATGAAAGATCTATTTTAGGTTGTCTGAGAGGTACAACCTAAATATAGGCATCATCTCTTCTAGAAACTTATTTGCAGAAAGATAATTCTCTTTTGGGTCTTGTTGTTGGAGAAGATGCCGAATATATATTAATCCTTTTACTTGTAGCGTTACTCAAAGGATGAGTGGATTTTATATTTTGGGTGTTGTTGGAGGATAGCCTTACATGAAACTTTCCCGTACTTCTGTTTAATCAAAACAATTAATGTTCATTTTCACGACCCGACAGGGCAGGAACAAGACCCCGGAAACATTGTACGCTGCCATCATCACCTCGATCCGTAGGCCTCGGTATCTAAGTTTGGCTTCATTTTTTTTCGATATAATATTTTTTCTCATAACATTTCAGCTACAATAACGTTTTTCAACCAAGTTTCACACCAACAAACGGGGCCTACAAAAATAACAAACTACTTGGGGTGGCCGGTTAATTACTAGAGAAGCATATACTAGAGTACAGTATATCCTTCTTCACATACATCCATTAACGCGCAAAACAACCAAGTTACCAACCTAGGCATGCATGCCTGCAGATCATCGTGGAGCTCTACGGACTCTGTTAGTCGCTGAATTCTTGCTCCCGATAATAGTAGAATTCTTATTTTCATTGAAAGAGGATGACATCAGGAGTTAGGAGAATTTTCTGGTTTATTTCTCACACAATGACATGCCAACCTGAGGGTTTAGGGATACATATTTATAGGCTGCTAGTCAGCCAAGTATATGCCAAGATGCTAGTTTAAGATGTTATCCTAGATGCTAGTCCTAAATGCTAAGATGTTGTCCTAGCCAGTCAAGGATGCTGTCCTTGATGGGCAGCAAGACCATCATGCTGCTGCTGCCCCACAAAGACCTATACAGAGACTTATCCATCATTCCCCCCCTAAGTCTTGTGCGTCGTCTTGCGGGAAAGTTGAACCATCCCGATTCTGGAGCAGAGCTCAAGGAACTTGATCCTTCCAAGAGGCTTGGTAAGCAGGTCCGCAAGCTGGTCCTTGATGTTGATGTAGCTCGCCTTGATGCTCCCTTCCTCCAAATAGCCTCGGATGAAGTGGTACCTCACCCGGATGTGCTTACTCCGTTCATGGAAAACGGGGTTCTTTGCTAGGGCCAGAGCGGACTTGCTGTCCATCCTGAGCTCCACCGCTCTAGTGTCTCTGCCGAGGAGATCACCAAGCAGTCGAGCGAGCCAGAGCGCCTGAGTCGAAGCGGTGGAGGCCGCTATGTACTCGGCCTCACAGCTGGACAGGGCCACCACCTGCTGCTTGACCGACTGCCAGCTAACGAGGCACTTGCCGAGGAGGATGAGGATCCCGCTCATGCTCTTGCTGGTGTCGATGTCGCCGGCCTGGTCGCTGTCGCTGTACCCGACGAAGTGTGCCGCCCCAGGGCACCTAGGGTAGTAGAGGCCGTGGTCGAGTCCCCGCAACGTAGCGGATGATCCTCTTCACAACATGCTGGTGCTCCGTCGTCGATCGCTGCATGAATCGACTAACGTAGCCGACGGAGAATGCCAAGTCCGGCCGTGTGTGGGTGAGATAGCGAAGGCTCCCCATAAGACGCCGGTACTGCGTAGCGTCCACCTCCTCCGTCATGCTGTCGCGGCTCAGCTTCAGCCTCTCCTCCATCGGAGTGAGAGCTGGGTTGCAGTCGGTGAGCCCAGCTAGCTCAACGACGCGCTTGGCGTAGGCGGTCTGTCGAAGCGTGATTTCCGGAGTCATCCTGGTGCACCTCGATTCCCAGGTAGAAGGAGAGAGGCCCCAGGTCACTCATCTAGAAGGTGGCCTTCATCTCTTCCTTGAATGCCGCCACCTCCGCATCCTTGGTGCCGGTGATCACCAAGTCGTCGACGTAGACACCCACCAGCAGAGCATTTCCTCCACTACCCCATATGTAGATGGCCGCCTCATGCGGGCTTTGCTCGAAGCCCATCCCCTTTAGCGTGGAATCCAACTTGGCATTCCACGCCCTCGGTGCCTGTCGCAAGCCATAGAGGGCCTTGCGCAGGCGGAGCACCTTGCCCTCCTTGCCGGGGATCGCAAATCTCGGCGGCTGGTGCACGTAGACCTCCTCCTTCAAGTCGCCGTTAAGAAACGCCGACTTGACGTCCATGTGATGAACACGCCAGCCCTCCTAGGTAGCTAGGGCAAGGAGGAGTCACACGGACTCCATTCGTGCCATGGGAGCAAAGGCGTCATCGAAGTCGACCCCCTCCTGCTGCACGAAACCTCGTGCCACCAAGCGAGCCTTGTGCTTGACGATGGCGCCAGCTTCATTCCTCTTCAGCTTGTACACCCACTTAAGGGTGATCGCGCGGTGACCACGAGGAAGGTCAGCAAGCTCTCAGGTGTGGTTCTTCTCAACCGCATCCATCTCCAACTACATCGTGGTGTGCCATGCCGCGTGTCTCTCGGCCTCTACAAACGACCGAGGCTCGCCGTCGTCACACGCAAGGTGCAACCACGCCTTCAGGTCGTGAGGCACCAGTCCCGGCACTGGCTGGTCACCAAGAAGGTTCTCCATCGTACGGTACCGCAACGGCTCACCATCGTGGTACGCGTGGATGCGCTCCTCGTCGTGAGAGAGCGAGGTAGCGAGCTCAACCGGGCTGTGCTCGACACGAGCTGGTGTTGGAGTAGATGTGCCCGGAGAGGTGCCTGTCGGTGCTGGAGTGCATGGCGGTGCTGGCTGTGGTGGAGCCGGCGAAGAACTCATCGCAGCCGAGGTCCTGGCTGGAGAGTGTGGTGCTGTCGGAGTAGCAGGCGCCGGGGTCGGTGGAGGCTCGGGGACTGGGGTAGACGCGCTCATCGAAGAAGAGCTGCCTACTCCCACAGCTCCCTCGAAGTGGACGTACTCGACAGTGAAGTCATCGTATGTCAAAGCCGAGCCGTCGTCCACCGTCTTGTCCCACGCCCATCCTCGCCCTTCATTGAACACAACGTCGCGTGCTGTGCGCACACGCTGTGTCTTCGGGTCGAGAACGCGGTAGGCCTTCAAGCCCTCCGCGTAGCCAATGAACACTCCCAGAGTGCTCCTGTCATCGAGCTTGCTGATGTGGCCAAGCTCCTTGACGAACGCGAGGCAGCCAAAGACCCACAAGTGGGAGACCGCCGACTTGCGCCCATGCCAAGCCTCGTACGGCGTCCTGTTGTCGAGCGCCTTGGTAGGCGAGCGATAGAGGATGTAGACGGCCGACACCACCGCCTCTCCCCAGAAGATAGCCGGCATCCCCCTCTGCTTGAGAAGGAGCCGATCCATCCCCACAACCATCTGGTTGCGCTGCTCGACGACGCCGTTCTGCTGCGGGCTGTACGGCGCAGAGTAGTGGCGCTGAATGCCCTCATTAGCGCAGTATGACGTAAATTCAGCTACCGTGAATTCGCCGCCATTGTCGGTGCGCAGCACACGCAGCTTGCGGCCGCACTTCACCTCTGTAGCAGCCTACACGCGCCTGATGGTGTCCGCAACCTCTCCCTTGCTGCCGAGGACCATCACCCACATGTAGCGGAAGAAGTCGTCGATGAGCAATAGGAAGTAGCGTCGTCCTCCAGGTGTGGCCAGTGTTATCGTGCCACACAAGTCCCCGTGCACAAGCTCGAGCCTCTCCTTGGCTCGAAAGCTTGCCCGCTGGGGAAAGGAGAGTCGCCTCTGCTTCGTCAACACGCAGACGTAGCAGAGCTGCTCCACATGGTCGAGGCACGACAGGCCTCGCACCATCTCCATGGCACTGAGCCGCTTTAGGGCCTTGAAGTGAAGGTGTCCGAAGCGCTCGTGCCACTGCCACGCTTTGTTGTCCCGACGAGCAGCGAGACAGAGGGGTTGTGCCACCTGCACGTTAAGGACGTAGAGTCGATTTGTGCTTCTGGTCACCTTGGCAAGAAGGCGACAATGGCGATCCCAGATCCTCATGACTCCATCCTCAACCACCACGTGCGAACCGTTCTCATCCAGCTATCCCAAGCTGATGATAGAGTTCCTCAACACGGGGATGTAGTAGACTCCGGTGAGCAGCCTATGCTCACTAGACACGGCGGTGAAGATGACGGAGCCGACGCCCTTGATCTCCACGCCGGAGGCATCCCCAAACTTGACGG